GAGCAGTACCGGTGCAGGGTGGAGCATCCCGGAATGCCGGAGCCCGGGATCTTCGCTTGGGGTGAGGCTGGGAATGTGGGGATTGGGAATTTGGAATTCCCAAATGGGGATTCCCCTCCCCCTCCTCACTATCCCGTGTTTCCCAGAGCGAACATCTGGTGGGAATCTCACTGTGGTGGTCGCTGTGTCCGTCATCGCTGCCATCCTCATCCTCATTGTCCTCATTGGATTCGGCATCTGGAAGCTCCAATCCGGTAGCACATGGGCTGGGGGTTGGGAAGGGACACGGATCCACCCGGCACCATTCTGGGAATCCTGTGCCACTGACGCTGATCCCACTTTGTTTCCACAGGGAGGAGAGACTGGAAGGGATACAACCCGGCAGCCGGTGAGTTCCAGTGGTGGATCCAGCTCTGGATCCTCTCTGTGCAGATCCCAGGATGGATCCTGGGGTTAATCCCACTGTGTGATCCATGCTGGAATCTCATGGATCTTCTCTTTCTGCAGGAAAGGACGTGGGAGCCAATGGCTTGAGCACAGGTGTGGAGCAGGATCAGAATGAGATTCCAGAAGGAGATTGGGGCAGGATGGACAGATTGGGATCGGAGAGGGATTCTGGATCAGAGCAGGGTCCAGAGTGGGATCAGGTGGAATTGTAGAGTGGGATTGGGGCTGGATTCTGGAGTGGGATCAGGAGGGATGGATGGAGCAGGATTGGTGTGGGAGGGATGGAATGGGATCAGGACCAGATTCCAGACAAGAATCAGGTGGGATGGAATGGAACAGGATCAGGTTGGGGTTCCAGAGAAGGATTGGGGCAGAATGGATGGGGCGAAATGGGTTGGATGGATGGAGCAGGATTGCAGCAGGATTGGGGTGGGGCCAGCTGGGATTGTGGAGCAGCTCCTGCTCTCCATGGGCTCCAGCCAGGTCCATCCTGTGGAATGGGGACAGGGACAGGGTGACACCATGACCCTCTCTCATCCTGGCAGGAATCATCGCCTGAGTGACCCATGGAGCTGGATCTGGCCCCTTCCCTCTTCCCTGGAAAGCTGAGAGCTGCCAGCAGAGCTCATCCTGCTGCAACCACCCACCCCACAGCTCTTGCTAACAGATCCATTTCCCATTTTCAAATGCTTTAAAGGCAAGAACCACAAATATTCACAATGCTTCGCTTTTGGTGTGAAACTATCCTGCTTTGGGCAATATATCTGGGTTCCCTTCTCCAGTGTCTGACAGTTCATCTCTGGGAGCCAGAAATGGGAATGGGGTCACTGGAGCAGGGATGGGGACACCAGGAATAGGATGGGAACACCAGGAGCAGGATGGGGAGATCAGGACCTGGACTGGGACACCAGGAGCAGGATGGGGACTTGCCAGCCACACCCGGCTCCATCTCCCGGGATTAATTTCCCGCTCCGTGTCCCATGTCTGAGGTGTCCCCAGAAGGGTTTGGCCACGTTGGGCTCCTGGATGGGCAGTGGGATGGGGGGAGGGGTCAGGCCAGGCCTTGTTGTTCCCAGAGGTCCTTGAGTGTCCCAAAATCAGGATCTCAGAGAGGTTCCCTGGCCATGACCACGGCCATGACACGAGCATGAGATGGCCGTGAGAATGACCATGAGTGACACAACCCTGAGATGACCATGTCCATGGGATGACCATGACTGTGACCATGACCATGACACAACCACAACCCTGACCATGAGATGATTTGGATGAAGAGATGACCGTGGGTTGGCCATGGGATAACTGTGGCCTTGAGGTGACCCTGACATGATCGTGGCCATGAGATGACCATTACAGTGAGATGACCCTTAGCATGAGATGATGGTGATCAGGAAATGACCATGACCATCACTATGAGATGGCCATGACCATAAGATGACCATAAGATGATTATGACAATGGAATGACCATGAGATGACTATGACACCACCATGGCCATGAAATTATGAAGGCTTTGAGATGACCAACACTATGAACATGACACAATCTTGACCAAGAGGTGACCATGAGATGACCATAATCGTCTCACACCATGGCTATGTGGTGATCATGACCACGAAATGATCATGACACAGCCATGGCTGTGAGACAATTGTAACCATGAGGTGACTGTGAGATGACCATGAGATGATTGTGACCATAAGGTGATGGTGATGACCATAACTGTGGGGAACAAGCCTTACAGAATAAGGACCTTTCCCACCTTTGTTCAATCCTGTTCACTTCTGTTCACCAAAAGGCCCTCTGGGAAGGTTCAGCTGTGGGTTGATGGCCAGAGAGTGGGTTGGTGGTTGCCTCATGTGTGAGGCAGGGATTGGCTGAGGAGATGTGTGGACACCACATGATCAGAGAGCTGATTGGGTAAAGGGACACATCCATAGCAACACTGCAGTGGCAGGCAGACAACGCGTGCTTATTTTGGTTAAGTTTGGGGCAAGTTTTGAGTATAAAAAAGATCAGTTGGTTACAATAAACAAACTTCTTTGAAACAAGCAAGGAGGTCCATGTGTCCTTGTTCCCCATTGCTGTGCATGACCATGAGATGACCATGACCATGAGATGACCATGATGATTGTGGCCATGAGTTGACCATGAGATGATCTTGGAATGACCATGACCATGTAAGGACCATGACTGTGACCATGTCCATGATATGCTCATGACCATGAGAGGACTGTGACCATTGGATGACAATGACATAGCCATGAGCATGAGATCGTGACCATGAGAGGACCATGACCTTCAGGTGATCAGGGGATGACCATGAACATGAGATGATGGTGCTCAGGGAATGACCACGACCATGAGATGACTATGACCATGAGTCGACCATGAGATGACCATGATAATTTAATGACCGTGAGCATTTCATGACCATGACACAGCTGTGAGATGATCAAGGTCATGAGATGACCATGATTTGACCATGGCCATTGGGTCATAGAGACCACGAGATGAGCAAGAGATAACCATGGCCATGAGACAACCTATAACAATGAGACAACCATGAGCATGAGATGATTGTGACCAAGAGATGACCATGATATGACCATAACACAACCATGGCCATGAGACCATTGTGACCATGAGGTGATTCTGAG